GGGGCTTTTCATGTGGCCCAAATCTGCTCCTCAGATCGCTGGCAGACAATTGAAGCCAAACGATCCGGATCCCTGAGAATTCACGACGGGCTTCGAGCAGAAACATCCTCTACTCAACCGATGTGTCAGGGATCCATCGATGGAGCCATCTTACAATCCATCGTCCAGATTCGTCCAGGATCGTATTCTTTGTGAGGGGTGAAAAGCAGCATTCACTTCCTTTTAGCGAGTCAAGGAGGTCGAAAGATGGGATCCATGATTCATGATGGTGCGACAGTGACCCGGTTGCCTGGTTGATCCCAAATCGAGTAGGAAAACCATGAAACTGTGCCCATGTGTTCCGTAAAACAAACATAGATCGGTGCTTCGAATCGCCCAGCATCCGTGATCAAACATCAAACATCTCTACCTGCAGTCACAAAGGGGTGCTTAATGGAGGTTAGGGGTGCCCAGCTACTCCACTCACTTGAGGACTAAACACCACCCCTTTGTGACTGCTGGTATCAGTCTCTATCTACATCTCCGTTGTTGTTTTGAAGTGGGACTATCGAAACTGAGTGGGACTGGAGCTGAGGCAAACAAAATGTCCGCAGTCACAAAGGAGTGCTATTCATGGAGGTTAGGGATGCCCAGCTACTCCACTCACGTAAGGGGACGTTTCACACCACTCCAGACATGTCAATGTGACTCTTGGTACTTGGATTGTTTCGGACCAAAAAAGCACGACGGAATCGTCTTGTCAGACCATGTCAAACCCATCCCTAAGGGTCCAGGAGCATCCGGCCATTGGATGTCCTTTGACCCCCCCGGCAACGACCATTCGACCTGGTTTCGTACGAGCTCACCGTTCGACAAACCGAAGGATGGAGGTATAACTGGACCCGAACTGGGCATGGTGATCATCGACCTCAAACCCCGACCCGAACTTGGGCTCCAGTCGTACCGACTGAAAATGGACCTATTGGATCCTCCTGGCACTGGGGCGTCCCCGCGCCCGGAAAACGTGCGAGGCTCGAGCCTCACACGTGAAGTGCCGCGCCCGTGACTGGGCTCCAACAGAGGTTGAATGACCCGAACTAGACCATCCTATAGGTACCCCTGCATGGTGACGGGTCCTAAAAAACCGGTCACTAGCTACCTCCAGTCGCACCTGTCCAGAGATCTGCACGACCCGCAGTGCCATGGGCGGTGGTGGTGAGGGACCGGTGGTGAGGTGGGGGTGGTGGTGACGGACGTCCCACACCAACCAGCAGAGGTTGAAGAACCCTATAGCCTATCCTATAGGTACCCCTGTAGGGTCCTATAAGGTCACTTAACCTCTGTTGGAAGGTCCTGGTCCAAAGGTCTTGCCCTGAGCGGACCCTGGCCCTGCTGAGGGCTACTATGAGGGCTTGCGAAACGAGCCTGCATAGAAACGAGCTCGGCTGTTTTTGTTGTTTGGTTTGTTCATGGGTTTGAAATGAGGGCCGCTGGTCAGGATTTGCCAGATCCACCGTGCACGCTTTAGAATGGTCGAATGGGTGAGGCGAAACGGATGATGTGGATGCCAATGGATGCCGTCTCCAGTCCTGCCGCGTCCTTCGCACCTGAACAGCTGCGGCAGGTCGGTTCGCATGGCGGCGAACGTCGGACTCCGACTCTCCGGAGCGACGGATGACTCGGAGCGACCGATCCAGACCGATCAACACTGGAGCGACGTCTATCGATGGTTCGGTGTTTTCACAGCCCCGGCAAACAGATTGGGAGCGTCTTTTTGGAGCTTCCTGATGAGCGAACCAGGAGGATGAAAACACTCATCTGAGCCGTGCTGGAAAGCTTGATGGATTCTCAATATGACAAGACCCTTACTCATTACAAGCAAGTCCCAAACACTCCAGGTCCATGTATGCCATATTTGCCTACATTGACCCCCAAAACCACCCAATGTTGGCAAATATGGCATACATGGAGTGTCTGGGAGTGGGTTTATGGCATTATTTTTGTCGGATCTTCGAACTGGATGTCCTGGCGAGACGACTTTGTTTTTTCGGTCGTCACGTGGTTGGCTCCGGTCCCTGATCCATGACATCCGTGGATACATTCGGCGACCAACAAATGATCAAAGCCATGTGGACCCACATATACCGAACCTCAGCTACGGTGATTGGGAGACTGTTGATGTAGGCAGTCGGCGCCGGAACCAGGGCCCAGCGTACCGAAGCTGAGGAGATATATGTGGATCCTCCAGGGAAACGGAAAAGCTTCCAAATAGAGTCAACCGATCAAACTCCGATCAAATTCGATGTGAGCCTTGGCTCACATCACCGATGCGAACAAAGAGTCTATAGTTGGGCCTTGAGGTCAAATGACTCTGCGAGCCCATCAAACAAATGGACAAATTGCCTGGCAAGAACATCAAAGAGATTGGTTTAGGGTGAGTGGTTCATGCTGCGAGTATAGTCCCTTTTTCCATCTTTTCCAAGATCCGCACACTTGTGGGTTTTACCCACAAAACCGGCCCTTTGTTCAGGCCCCGGCAAGAGCGACATCGGGCTCCCATGCCTTTCAGTGCACCATCTCAAGGGTTGCTCACAAGGTATCAGGTGGCTACTGAATATCTCACTTCGCCTACATCACCTCAGGTTCGGTGACCGCGGATGGTAGACAGAATCCTGGTGTGTACATGTTGACCCCATCGCGACGCTGGGGGGTCTCAAGGCTGTTCGAACTCGAAAACCCCCTCCACCAGAACTGCCCTCCTGCAGGGAAAAAAGGAGACCTGAACGTTGAACGAGGCAATTCTATGAGATGCATGAATGTTGGATCGATGGTAAAAACACTTAAAACTAAAACGGATCATGGATGTCGTGCAAAGGACCTTTCCAAGAATGCCAGTCAACATCCAGTCGTTCCCGCGTTCGGCCTCCTTCTGCCAAGCGTGAGATCCAGTGGCGGAAAAAGTCTTCGCAATGGCCCCCTGTTTGATGGGTGGCCGCCCTCTTGCAAACCCATCCGCACCAAGTGTGCCGGTCGGGTTGAGAAGCGCTACGCAGCATCATTGGCTAGGCCCAAACACTCCATGGGACTGGAATAGATGCCGGACCCCATTCACCCATTTTCAACATTGTTCAACCACCCCAGTGTATGTATACATAATATGCCATACATGGTGTCTGCGCTGGAGTGTCAGCCATTTTAGGGCCCCACGTTGTGCACACTGTGCATTCGCAGGGAGCTGTGCTTGTCCAGCGCATAATAAGGGACCAGGTGCGAAATGGGGCAACGCAAGCGCAAGCCAGGGCTGGTGTTGTTCTGTTTCCGAACTCAAAGCAAAAAAGAGTCCACAAAGTTTGCATAGCTTAATTAATTAATGTCATGATTAACACAATAACTCGTATACTGCTTGATTGGATAGTTCAGGGATGTTGATGGTCTCTAATCCAGCTGTCTCAGTGTTCACAGCTGTCTCAGCTCTATTCTTTCCTCCACCCTTGACAGGCCACCCCGGGCGTCATGCGCCGCCGGCTTCGACGGTCCGCGCTCCGGGTGAAAAGCGTCGAGCGCAGCTCAAGGCGCCCAATCGCGGAATGGTCCACAGCAGCTTTCGGCTGAAGAATCGAGGACGCGGTCTGCTGACTGTGCTGACGTGTGTGTTGAAGGAAGCATGCTCACTGGGAGATGTCAACCTTCCCTAGCTGGGGGAGATGTCAACATCGATTCGGAACTCGTTGAAGGTGAAGGTGGGGGGATGTGAACTCATCCACCAATCTCAGACCTTGTTTCAATGTCATGCTTTGAGTCATTATTCAGCAAGTTGAGCCACTTTTTGTCTCACTCGAGGTGCACAAAGTCTGCGAATGCGTCATTCCAGAAAATTTCTGCCTGCCTGCTGGAAGAACATGAGCTGAGCGGTGGCAAAAACCATTCGGAACTTTTATTAAGATTATAACAACCTTTCGCCAATCCCTTCGCAACGCTTTCGCGGCTGCATGCTTTGCTTTCGCCGACCCACTTCACATGACAACCTCTTTAGCTAACCCTTTCGCCGAGTTTCTGCTACTTACATCTAAGAACAGTATCAGCAAAGGGGAATCATTCCTAATCTGCAACCACTGCTTTCGCCACATCTTCGCGAACCTTTCGCCTGGTTATCAGGATTCTTTGGATGACATGCTTTGTACTGAAAACCTCTTCGCAATCCAAAATACCCCAATGGGTCCCTGAAAAATCTGAAACCACCGTATGAAAAGTCGACATGGGGGGAGCATCTGGGATTGTCAATCTCCAGTCATTTGCACCCTCCAGGAGCTGTATCCTGTATCCAACAATCAGAACCAGCAAGCACTTCAACCAATGCAGTGCTTAACAGCTTCCCTCTCATTATATCACAATCAACCAGCAAAACCAATCTAGAAACCCACACAAATATACACAAATAATTAACAGGAAGTTGAACCACATGAAATGGGGGGGCACTAGGATCTGCGAACTCCAATAGATCATATGCGTGTATACATGTGCAATTTGTCCTCGATCCCCGAGTACGCCTCACACCCAACGGTGGAGACGGCCATGCAGGAGAAGGTTCATGGCCTTCCATGCTTCCTACGGGACCGCCATGGATTCGATCCACCTCTTCCTATACCCATACACTCCATGTATGGCATATGTGGCAGTCAATGTAGATGGTTTTGGGGGTCAATGTAGGCATATATGGCAGTCCCATGGAGTGTTTGGGTATAGGGTCACCTCCTTTTCGAAGGCACGGAGCGAGACGCAAATGATCCGACGTCGACCTGGACGATTCCCACGGTGCTTGGGCATCGGGGAGTGGCCCCGAATCGTCCGGGTCCGCCGGACCCAAACGTTCAAATGGTGGCACCGTCTAGATCTGGGTCTGCTTGGAGTCCGCCCGACCGCGGCACCGTCTGGGTCTGGAGTGGTATAGGGTTTCGACCTTTCGGTGCCTTTGAACTACACACACCAGACCCGGAAGACCGAACGGTGCCACGCCTCGAGATCTAAGGCTCCTCTTCGGAGCTCCGGCTTTCGCTCAGATCTTTCGCCCCACGCGCCCCGAGCCCCGCGCTCTCCATGGAGATCACGCGCACCGTGCGTGCCACCGGCGGCGCGCCGCGCGGGGCACGTGCCGTCGCGACGTCGTAGGCGTCGGAGGGCAGTGCGCGCGGCGGCGAGGCTGGGCCCTTCTCCGACCTGCCGGTGAAATCGAACGCTTTCGGAGCCAAAGTGGAGATTCCTGGCCCAATTGAAGTGAAACATGGACTTGGAAGGCCAGAATCAAGGACCCCAGCGAGTGAGGGAGCCAGCATTCGGGCCCATCCACGTGCGAACTGGTCAAATTCGAAAGAAGGTAGTTAACCACCTTCTCAGGAGGTGGTTTAGGCCTAGGGCCGGCCGAGGGCCTATCCAAATCCAAGTACCCTGTTGTTTGCCGGTGCCATTGTCGGGTCCAGTCGCACCGAACCTGAAGGTGCGGCTGGATCCCTGAATTTAGGGCAGTTCAATCGGAGTATATTTCATCCATCTTCGAAGTGTCAGGCCGGCGGTTGGGGGGTGTAACCCCCATCACCGGAGCTCCTAGCAGTTTCATGTAAAAGGGCTATATATACGTATTTCAGGTCACAGTCTGGCAAAAAGAAACCTCGCAACTTGCAGGTTTTCCCAACTTTCTGCTCACCTGGCGAACTGTAGAATACCCATGCCCCAGGCAGCCAATGCTGAAAACCTCTCGCTGGACTCCCTGCGCGGTGGCTCTGAGTGTGCCAAGCCCAGCACGAGCTCCTGAAGAGCTGTCCAGCCCGGTGCACAGGGAAACTCGGACATCCGGGTCCGTCTGGGTCCGGTCGTCCGTCCAAACCTGCAGTCTGTCCTGAACAACCCAGGCCCATTGGGACTGCCATTTATTTACACTCCCGAAAACTAACATAGACCCTGACGTCCTGGCCCCCTGGAAGGGTGTTTTCCTCTACCAACCAGTGGTTTTCAGAGTCCATGGGATCGTCTTCCAGGGTGTATCTATTGACCCCTTGAAACACCACCCCTGGCCGTTTTGAAGGCAGTCCGGCAGTCCCGTCTTCGGTCGCGTCTGGGTGGTGTATTCTGGCAGTTACAGACGCGTCCATCTTAAGACGCGAACTCGTCAAATTCTTTATACCAGGAGTCACGTTCGACGGGGTGGTGTGAAACGTCCCATCCAGTGAGTGGATGTGACAGGGGCACCCCGACTACCGACTTATGGATCGCACCCCGTTTCTAACGTGACTGCAGGTAGACAGTCACGCCGTACGTGTTCTTGTTCTCTGTGTGTCCCCTGTGAGGTCAGAGAACGGGTCGTGACCGACTAGTTCGTGGATACATGTGGCCTATACCAGGACCCGACTCGTTCGGGGTGTCTATACCCGAAGCGCTGTGATTCGGGGTGTCCATGTCTACCACCCCACTCCTGGGGATCCTGGGTACCCAGGATTTTCGATCCCACAATCTTCGGCCGGTCACTTCGACCCGTTCCCGGGCGGCTACCTGTGGGGGTTCCAGCACTCGGTCGCTGCACTCGGTCGCCGAACCAAAACCCCCATCGTCGCTCCCCCTCGATGGACGTGATGCGCTTGCAGCGGCTTTTCCTCGGAGCGGCTGTTCAAATCGGCCGAAAGCAGCGACGGAGTGTTTTCCGAGGCCTCCGTGCGAGCAATTGGGTGCGAACGCTGTCCAGCTCAGTAAGGGATCCAGTCGTACCTTCTCAGAAGGTGTTTGGAGACACTGTTATGTAGGCATTGGAGGTGTTTGGAGGCTCCAAGGACCTTCTGAGAAGGTACTTGGATCCCTAGGCCCATAGGGTAAGGATGGAACTGGATTGCACATGTTTGTATAAAGGAGAAGGGCCTTGCCGCCATGCATGGCCATCCACGTACCCACGCACTGTAGCGGTCGTGGGCATGCCACTCGTTGTGGGGAAGACTGGGACTGGGCGGTGGCCAGGAGGGTCCAGTCCTACCTTCTGCGGGCGCCAGGGACCCCGCGAATGAGTTCGTTGCTGTAGTCCCTCCCAGTCGCTGAGTGCTCCATCCGTGAGTGTTCCGACGCCGGGAAAGTCAAGGGAAAGCCACCACGTCCGGACCTTCAGTGACCAAACTTGAGATCCCGGTCGATCTTAGGCTTGTAAAAGAGGTCACCAAGGTCGTCCCAAAAGAGGTGACGGTCCTGGGGTCCCACGCGTCGGTGGCGACGTGGACGACCCCATCCACGGAATGGGCCGCAGGTCCAGGTCCAGGTCCAGCGGATTCCAGCGGTTAAGCCCCATCACCGGGGCCGCAAACTTGAGAGTTGAATCTCAACACTCCCAAACGTGCCATAGGACTGCCATATATGCCTATATATACATTGACCCCCCTGGCACCACCCAACTGATCGGCAGTCCCATGTGTTGCGTCTGGGACTGTACCTGGAGCCTTTCGGTGAATGATTAAAAGCTTGCGGGCTTGAAGCGATTTCGGCTCAGAGACTCTTAAACTGCTACATATTTGAGGTCCAAAACCGTAGTTGTGAGAGTCACAATGCTAGCTATGAGGGTTCAATGAGCTTTTGGGAAGTGAACATAACGTTTTGTTCAGCTTGGCATCGAATCGCTGGTCTGTTCATCTGGAACGGTATAAGCTCAACAATCCATGTATGGAATATCTATACCCAAACACTCCATCGGACTGCCATATATGCCGATCCATTGACCCCTCTGGCACCACCCCTGGCCGTTTCTCGGCAGTCCGCCCTGGCAGTCCCAGACAGGTCGTGTCTGGGATATTATATACATGCAGCATGTACATCCACGCCTTGAGACATCTTTAAATCACGCTAATTCAGGCACTTTTGTTTAGAGTCTGGGTTGTTTGGGTCCGTGTTCCAGGATGAAAAAAAAACAAAATGTCACATGATGAACACATTGGACTCTTGACAACCCCACCGTTGTATGGATCAGCCAGCTGCCTATCGGCATCAACACCGAGCGGGACCTCCTGAAACCCATGTAGGATCTTGATTCACCAACGTCCTCACATGAAGCCCTAGGGCTCCAAGTTGCTCCAAGTACCTTCTGAGAAGGTGTTTGGGGTGGGTTTGGAGGGTGGAGCCCTAGGCAAGAGTTCAATCCAACTGGGAGGCCTTCTTCATCAAGATCCTAATCCTACCCCTACTCTTGTCTCGTGCCCACCGAGGCTGGCCAGGCTCTTGGGCTTCGCAAGCTCGTGGTGGGGCACCGGGGGCACATGCTGTGCGCTCAACGAGCGCTCGTCCATGGCGCCCCGTGCTCCGTCGAGGTGACCCACGGCCGTCCGGCCGATGGTGTTCGATCGGCCAAACCACCAATCCGCGTCCTGCTGCACCTGCACTACTGAGTCACTACTGCACCTGCACATGATGTTTGAACCACAATCGTTGGTGAAAAGAAGGTCGGGATGTTTGCAACGTCACGGTGTTTGAAGACCGGGCCGATCACCAACCTGGGTGGAGCCGATCCGGCGCCGGGGCGTTGGACGAGATCGTTGGGTGTCCGTTGGCAACGCGGCGGGGGGGTCGATGTTGACGAATTCACGGCGCCTCCAAGAGGGTTACTAACCAAGTCACATGGAGACCAAGATGGGTGTCATCTTTTCAAGGAATTCAGGGCCGGTCTTTGGCCTTTCTCGTTGTTTCCCACCAGCCACCACGCTGGATAAGGGTGTCAATTTCAAGAGAGCCGCACACATGAGCCTTTCATCATCCAGTATTACTGGGAGGGGGCAGTGGACCATTTGTATGAGTGCATTAGGATGCATTGGGTATATCCCATGACCGCATTGGATGATTGAGGGTTAAAGTAGAGGCATGTCGCATGAATAGTGATCAGTGATAATCTTTAGGTGACAGCTGCTGGTAATGGGGCACATCCTAAGTCCATATCTGTGTGGATGGTCATCAGATAGGCCAATGCAATAACCTATGACCATGGGGACTCATGTGCTTGTACACAGGGACACAGGACTGTGGAGTACTGTGGGAATTGTAACTCTTCAACTGAGGCTTGAATTCTGTATGGTAAAAACACCCACAGAATGGCACACCACTAAACACACAGGAAAGACCACAAGGGCAACACCACAAGTCACAAGTCAGAACACAAAAACACCACGAGCAGAGTCAGCTCCCAAGTCGAGTGATTCGACTGAACTCATCTGTTGTTCGGAGGAATTTCTTCAAATCTCCCAAAGAGTTCGGCGACCAAACAAAAGAACAGCGACTGAACCAGCGGGACTTTTTGAGGATTCGTTGGCCGTTTCGGCTCCGGTGAACAGCTGTTAGCAATCTCGATGCTCGGGTCCGAGGAGCAAGCATCACAGCGGACAAGCATCACCGCCATTTCCATAGAAGATCTTGAGGGATGGAACACGATCGACGGCCGGAACAGCGTCTGACTGCAAGGGCGAATGGCATGAAAACGATTGCAAACGCGTCGGAACAGCTTCTGACGGAGCTCTACCGGTGATGGTTCCAAGTCGACAGACCAATGGCTGTGCGTCTTGCCACCGGGGAATAGTGGACCCCCAAATGACCAGAACAAACGGAACAGTTGGTCAACCGATGGTTTGGAGGAGTAGATGCCACCGCCAAATGCCACTGCCCAGCAGAAACTCACCGACTGCGCCGACTGCGGTAGACTTCGGGAGTGTCCTCCTTTTCGTCCTTTCCCCTTCTCTTCTCCTGTCAGGTGACTTTTCACAACATCTTTATGTAAGCATGCCATACTTCATTGGATCCGATTCCTATTTCGTTGGAGGCCATTCCTATTAGGTCGGAGGCCATCGCTGGTAACGTTGGAGGCCATCGCTAGTATTAACATCCACGAGACCGCAACCAGTTGCTTTACATGGGGTCACTGGGGTCACTGGAATCCATGTGTTGTTCTTTCTCCATGGAAGGAGTCTTCCACGCCCGGTGTGAGAGCTGGACCCGGTCACCGTCCGGGTCTCCCAACGCGCCGGGTCTCTTGAAGTCGCATGGGATGTGATGGCGTTTCCCGTTTGGGGCTCCGTGTTCGTACCAAGTACCGACGCACCGAGCTCTTCGGTGTAACTGTTCGTCTCCGGTCGTCTCCGCGGGGGAGACCGGGTCCCAACCGGTCCCAACACAGGTCATGGTACGGGCATCCCATGGATTTGTGATTGGCGGGGGTGGTCAATCTTCCAGTGCCTCCGATCAATGGTCATGGATGAGTCGCAACCACCTGAATACAGCAACCATCACCTGGAGCATACGTACCTCAGAACATGGGTGCAGTACCTTTTTTTTTAAAGAGACTTTATGAGGTCAGTCATGTCCATTCTTGTCCCAATCCCAGACACATGTGAGTTGTGTTTTTTTTTTGTGGTGTGGGGCTTATACACTGGGTCTGTACCTACGCGGGTGCCTGCGCCTGGGCTCCCCTCTCAAGCAAATGCCTACGCGAGAGGTTCTCTTTGTTAGGTGCCTACGCGGGATGCCTACGCAGGGTGCTGTCACCAACTTTAGTCACATCAGGTGACTCGAAAAGAGCTATATAATCCGCAAGTAGTGGCCCGATGCGACCGGGTCACAGCAGGTTCCTGTTTACAAGGCGTTTACAGCTTTGCTACCGATGGCCAGATAGATTTTGTATCAAGCCGATCCAATTACAGTGTGGAAGCAGCAGCACATAAACAGCGCACAACAAGCAGAAAACAAGAGGCAGCAGCAGCAGCAGCAGCAGCCAAGCAGCAGCAAAAGCAGCAGCAAAAGCAGTAGCAGCAGCCAATAGCTTCTTGCCTACGCGCTGCTTCCGCGAGCGCCTACGCGGGGCCTACGCGAAAATAGGTCCATTGATTATGGTACCAACAGGGTGCGCACAGTTGTAGCTCAAGAGCCGGTGTGCCAGACCAAGCACGATCAAGCTTTTGACCTCAAAAACCAATGTGCCCCCATAGCTTCGACAAACAAACTTCAAACATCCACTGTAGCCATGTCGTTACAATTCATTTTCATTTTCCTTCCCCACTGGAATTTGCAAGCAAGTGTCAAGTTAAACAACTACAAGCCAACATTATCTTTCCCCAAGACCCTTGAACAACTTTTAAAGAAGTCTGAATAAGAAAATTCAGGCTTTCATGAAAAGGGTGCCTACGCAAGACTGCCTACGCAAATCTTTCAACACCCACCTACGCAAAATGCTTACACGACGCCTACGCCCCAAGCAGAACAGCCTCCGCGACTTCTCAACAGTTCCCTTTTTGTATAAACCTAATCATTTGCAAAAAAAAACGTGGCTCATGTATGGCATATTTACATACATTGACCCGTAAAACCACCCCTGGCCTGATCGGCATATATGGCATGGGGTGTCTGGGAATTGTTTAGGGTACTTGAAGTTCGGGTCCAAGCAAGCCACAGGGCCCCACCTGTGGAACCTCTTCGGCAGGCCTCGGGCAGGCCCAGGTCGTCTGAAGACAACGACCAGCTGTTTCGGGGTGGGGCTGGACTACCCCACCCAACGGAAAAAGGTCAGCAGGACACACCCTAAATAGGAAGCTTGAGCCAACTGCTACATCTGGCTTCCGTCCAAAAAACCTAGTTGTGAGGGTCCAAATTGTAGCGACCTGGGGTGGGAAGTGGTGTGGTCCCTGCATCTCGCATCACCAAAGACTGCATCTGTCCGCTCCAACCGGGAAAACGACAGGTCTGGGAGGGCCTCAAGGGATCGAAGGGCCGGGCCTAGCGATGGTTGAAGTCAGGGACCAAGAAGGAAAAAGAACTCTTTGAGCTAAATGTTGTTCCACAAGCACGGCAAGAATGACACATGTCCTGTCAAAACAAGTGGATGGACCATGGAAGAGAAATAGGATGAAATAGTTAGGGGATGTTAGGGGGTGGTCTCCTCACCTAGCAACTATCAAGGACCCTCTGTTGTCCAAAAGAAACCTATGTTCAATGATCTTCACATAACACCACGGGACCTGTGCTATGGGACCACACAACAATGGGACCTGTGGGGGCGGTTAGCAGGTTCACCAATGTAACAGAAAGCAGCTCAATACGGGGGACCCTCGTACATTAGAGATAGAATAGGTAGTTCTAGTTCGGCATAAGGCAGGGGGGGACTAAGGGGACAGCCCTCAAAAGAAGAGGAGAGGAGAGCCGGACCTTCGAAATCCAAAGGAGTCGCTGTTGAGGTCCCACAGGAGAAACCCGGAAAGACCATTTAAAGAAAATGGGAACGACCTGGTTTTTGATGGTTTTTGTAGTGTAAAAATCCTTATTGCAAGGTTCAACGCTCCTATTTTCGAGCATAAAAGCGGCTGTCGAGTGTACACTTCTCGTTTTGTGCGTGTCATCCTTTGCGGACCAGCACTCCTCCCTGGTTGTGCGTTTAGCATCTGACCAGCATTCGAAAATCGAGCCGTAGGCTCAAACCGCTTCAACCGCCACACACTTTACATTGGCGGATCTCAGTCATCGGTCCCGTGACCGCATTGCACCGAGCATCGGTGTGGAAGTTGCCGAGCTGGTCCTCATAGACGAAGTTCGTCTCTCGAAGACTTCTCTGGCCTCTGGTGGCCCTTTGACAGGCTCCACACACCGGCTGTTCATGAACTCGGTTGGCCTTGCTCAATCCCCTGCAGCTCCGCTGTCTATGGAAGCACTTGCTGGACTCCGCGAACCAGATCTTCCACGTTGGCTCATTGGGGAATCGCCTCCTCCTCCCAGTCAGGGTGATCTGCAGATGATGCCCTCCAGGTAGGTCAGCTTGATTCGGCGGCTCCTCTTGTGGCTCATTCAACGCGGGATCCAGTCTCCCTTGATGTCCATTTTCAATGCCTCCACCCATCCTGGTACCCCTTGGTGATGAGGATGAAGCACTCTGCTCTCCATGGTTCATTTGCTGCCACTCCCCATCATGTTGACGTGGTTCTCGATCTCCTCCTCCTTGAGGTCTGGTAGAAGTCCTTGTCCCGGAAGAAGATTGACCAGCCAGGCGAGAGACCCTCACTCTACGCGTTGCCGGATCGTCCTCCACCCGGTTCCAATGCAAGCGGCATTTTTGAATGACCTTCATGAGCACCATTCCCAGCAACATCATCATGACGCTGAGGAGGTACAGGATCTGGTCACCCTCCACATTCTCATCAACATTCTTGGTGACATTCTCAGCCATAGCCCCATGCACTTCCTTAAGGGCCGACAGCACCACGACAAGCCTCATGGCCTTCTCCAAGTGGTACTTCGCGACCAACTTCATAGCCCTTGGTGCGACAATGCCTTTGTCCTCCTCATGTACTTCGTCCACTGAGTCGGGCTGCCATGACATTCCCATCCGTTGCCTCAGCTCGTTGACCCGGGCTACTGGCAAAGACTTGGTGCCGATGTCCGC